CTTCTGGTACCTCCCCCACAGAGGGCCAAAATTGTAAATAACTGAAACGTTCATAAAATCCGAAATAAGCATCCTGTTCGCTTCAAATTTCACATATGCCATCATTTTTACTAACACCAGATATGCTGTGAAAATGGAACATATCGGCGTACTTCCTCTGGTACATTCCCCGCAAGAGAAACCCCATTAATATAGTACAGTGTTTAAAGATTTTAATGCCTATAGGAGATGTCTTAAAGAGAACATGTCAATAGTAGACGTACTAAAGTAGGTTCTGTCCAAAAGGATTTCCCATCCAAAAATAACTTTTTAGAAAAATTCTGTCATAGAAGATTGATAAGAAAAGCCTGAAAAGGGTTTTTTCTTTAAAAAACCTAAAAACATTTTCTTTCTAAAGAATGCCCAATTAAGTTCTAATTTCTGTAAAAAATGATAAAGGTCTTCATTCCCGCAGAATCCTCCAAGAAGGTGGTGTTTCTATAGAAGATATGTAGAAGTTCAACCTTCAGTAGTAGAACATACGATGGTATTTATTCTGTAGAGTACCCCAAGAACCTGTTTATCCCATAGAATCTCAAAATAAGGTCTTCTTAAATATTCGAATATGTTTCCATCCGTAAAAGACACTTTGAGTAGTCCCGTCGTAATCGTAAAGCTTTGAAAGGATCTAGTTACTATAGAAGATCAATGATTCTGTAAATGAGAGACATCTTATAAAATACCCTATTAAATCTCATCTTTGTATTCTGTGTACTAAAATGAGGTCTAATATCTAAGGAGAGGAAATTCCTAATTAGGTTTAGGCTTTGGTGCGATAATTAAAAGAAAATGACAAATTTGCTATGTGTCAAGTTAATGAGTTTTCACCCCGCCAAGGTGTTAATTTCTACCATTTCTAGTCTTGATTAGAAGACAAATTATCAAATATCTTATTTTTAAAATAATACAGGGGGAGATGAAAAAACTGCAACCAACTTCAGACTGCTGTCATTTCTAAGCTACTCGTCCGACAGCTATTAAAATTTTTCCAGTGACAGCTCATTATATTATTTACTAGCGTACAAAAGCATTTTGGTGAGAATTTTCCAGAAAAAAAGTTATTCGTGATGGAATTCAAGCGTGACAGTGTGATTTCTTTATATTTGGCTGGAAAACCACAAGTGGCTATCGTTAGAGCACTCCAGCATTTAAATGTGAATAAATCGTTTGTGTCTCGTAGCATCGCTCGTTACCGTGATACTGGTAGCACTACTCGTAGCCCAACGTCAAGGGAGTGGACGGAAGAAAACAGCAACATCAGCAGAAATGGTTCGAAAAGTAAAGAAGCGACTAGATCGAAACCCTTGTCGCAGTGGTCGATAAATGGCTCGTGAGCTAAACATATCGCAATATTCCATTCGGAAAAAATATTGAAAAATGAGCTCGGGGTAAAGCCATTGAAATTTCAAAAACTGCAAGAACTTAAACCGCAACAGAAAGAAAATAGACTCAAAAGAGCTAAAGAATTGCTTCGCTTGGCCGAAAGTAGTGAACTGCCGAATTTGGTTTTCTCCGAACAGAAAACATTCGTTGTATAGCAGTTTGTAAACAAACAAAGTGATCGTGTTTAATTGCCAAAGAGGTCAGCTGAAAATGTGCACCTTCGGTTGGCCACCAGAACTCAAGCGCCGGTCATTGTGATGGTGTGGACCGCCATAACAGCCGATGGTCGTTCTCCGCTCGTATTAATCGATCGTGGCATCAGAATAAATGCCGAATATTATCGTGAAAATATTATGAAAGCTGTATTAAAGCCTTGGGCACGCAAGCATTTTGGCCGCAGACATTGGACATTCCAACAGGACTCAGCACGCGCCACCCAAGAATGGTTAAAAATGAGGGTTTCGCTTCATTTTCAGCTCACAATGGCCACCAAAATCTCCGGATACATATCCGTTGGACTATTGTGTAAAAAATACTCAAGTGTCGATCACCTCAAGCAAGCGCTTCGCCGGGAATAGGCCAAAATACCCCAGAGCAACATTCGGGCAGTGTGTGACGGATTAATTGGCCGTTTGAAGGCCATAGTTCGTGCCAAAGGTGATAAATTCGAACAAATCTAAACTTATTCTAAAATCTGATGCTGTTTCCGACATTTTTAGCTTTCATTCAATAAAATTATCAAAAAAATTCATAAAAAATTATGGCGTTTGACTTTGTTGCAGTTTTTATACCCTCCACCATAGTCGTAGATTTTTAAGGATTTTTTTTCACGGGCCCTCATTGATTTAATGCTTTTTTTATACCCTCCACCATACTATGGAAGGTATATTAACTTTGTCATTCCGTTTGTTACTCCTCAAAATACTCATGTTAGACCCAACAAAGTATATATATATATTCTTGGTTAGCGTAAAATTCTAAGTCGATTTAGCGATGTCCGTCTGTGTCTGTCTGTCCGTCTGTCTGTATGTTGTAATCACCCTATCATTCGAACGAATTGTGATAGAAGGCTAAAATTTTGTACACATGTTTATTTTGCCAGTAGGCATGTTAAGTTCGTAAATGGGCCATGTAGGTCCACGTTTTCATATAGCCCCCATATAACGGTACCTCCCGATGTTCGATATTTTGATGATTTTAGCGACATTATTCACCGGAGTTGTTTCAAATTTGGCATTTAAAGTTCGAAATGGATACTACAGCCTAAGGCAGAAAATTGTCTATACAGGTTCACATCTTCGTATAGCCCCCATATAACGTTACCCCCCAATATTCGGTATTTTGATTATTTTAGCGACATTATTCACCGGAGTTGTTTCAAATTTGGTATTTGAAATTCGAAATAGATACTTCAGCCTATGACAAAAAATTATCTGTGCAGGTCCACGTCTTCGTATAGCCCTCATATAACGGTACCTCCCTATATACGGTATTTTGATGATTTTATCTAAATTATTCACCGTTTATTTCAAATTTCCAATTTGAATATGGTAATGGCTTATGACAAACAATGTCTATGTAGGTCCACGTAGTATAGACCCCGGTATTTTTTAAATTTTAACAGAATTTTTAATGCATTTTATTTGTTTAAAATTTCCAAATTCGTTCTAAATGGTGGAGGGTACCTGCAGAAGATGTCATTTCAAAAGAATCCCATTTTTCAAAAGAGCCTTCCCTCAAGAGACGCGATTTTTTCCAGAAAAAAAAATAAAATAAAAAGCCTATTTTTCAGAAGAGAAATAAATGGGATCATTTTCCATAGAAGGCCAGGAAAATGTAGTCGTTCCTCAGAGAACATTTCCCGAAAATATCTTGATCCCGTAAAAAAAATTCACAAAAGATAGAAATATGACTTCATTAGAAGAAATGTAGAAGCTATTTTTCTGGAGAAGGCTTTCTCAAAAGATAATAAACCCATAAACGGGGTTTTCCATAGAAACCCTAAAGAAGGTCTTCTTTTAAGATACTAAACAAAAACTTCTTTCTATGTATGGTGGAGGGTATAAAAACCCGAAAAGCGTATTTTCTTAAGAAGACCTGAAATCATTTCCCTTAATCTTTGAATTGTAAAATGCCCTATTAATCTAATTTTTGTATTCTGTGCACAAAACTGAAGTTCAATATCTGAGGACAGAAGATTCCTTTTGGGATAGCATTGGTGCGTTAATTAAAGGGAAATTAAAATTTAGCTTTCTGTCAAGTTTTTGAGTTTTCATCCCGCGAAACCTCCCATCGATGCGTTAATTTCTACCACTTCTAGTCTAGTATTTGAAGACGAAATACAAATTATTTTATTTTTATACCCTCCACCATACTATGGAGGGTATATTAATTTTGTCATTCCGTTTGTAACTCCTCGTTATACTCATGTCAGACCCAAAAAAGTGTATATATTATTGATCAGCGTAAAATTCTAAGACGATTTAGCCATGTCCGTCTGTCTGTCTGTTTGTATGTCTGTTGTAATCACGCTATCTTTCGAACAAATTGAGATAGAAGGCTAAAATTAAGTTCGTAAATGGGCCATGTAGGTCCAAATTATCATATAGCCCATATATAACGGTACCTCCCGAAATTCGGTATTTTGACGATTTTAGCGACATTATTCACCGGAATTGTTTCAAATTTGGCATTTGAAGTTCGTAATGGATACTACAGCCTAAGACAGAAAATTATCTGTTCAGGTCCACGTCTTCGTGTAGCCCCCATATAACGGTACCCCCCGATATTCGGTATTTTAATGATTTTAGCGACCTTATTTATCGGAATCGTTCCAAATTTGGTATTTGAAGTTCGTAATAGATACTGCAGCATAAAACAGAAAATGGGCCATGTAGGTCCACGTCTTCGTATAGCCCCCATATACCGTACCCCCCACCCCCTCCCCCGATATTCGGTATTTTGACGATTTTAGCGACATTATTCACCGGAATTGTTTCAAATTTGGCATTTGAAGTTCGTAATGGATACTTCAGCCCATGCCAGAAAATTGTCTGTGCAGGTTCAAGTCTTCGTATAGCCCCCATATAACGGTACCCCCCATATTCGGTATTTTGATGATTTTAGCTACATTATAAACAGAATTTTCTTCAAGTTTCGCATTTAAATATTGTAATAACTTATGACAAAAGTTGCCTGTGCAGATCCATGTCGTCGTATAAGCATTTGGTATTTTTAATATTTTAACAGAATTTTTAACGGATTTTATTTATTTATTTATCATTTTTTTTGGAAATTGCCAAATTTGTACCAACTGGTGGAGGGTATTTAAAGTTCGGTCCGGCCGAACTTACAGCTTTTTTACTTGTTAAAATTCAATTTGTATTTCATTGTGGCATTCTAATTGAATCCCTCAAGATATTTTTGATTAGAAAAAATAATGTGTTGAAAGATTATTCAAATGTTTAATCCGCTCTGTGAATTGTGGCGTATGATTCATGTCAACACGTATACGCCACACTGTTCCACAATGTTTTAATGCACGCACACATGCATAGTGCGTACGATTGGAGACTTACCTAGCAACGATTAACACAACCAAATAATTGCATCGTATTCCAACATTTTAAATCCAATCATTTTCGAAATCTAGAAAAGTATGAAAAATATAAAATTAGATTAAATATTAAAAATTAAACAAACAAAGTAAAATATTTATACAAAAGGTGTTTCTATTTTGTTAAACAATATTATTGTTATTATAGCTTTTCCAAAGATTTTTATTCTAACAGAAAAATATTGTTGCATCCATGAAAATCCCCTGACAGGCATAGTATTCACCATGGATAACCCTACTCTGTATTCCATCGCTCCGCCCACACAAACTTGCACGCACTGTGCGTCGCTAAGAAGTCAATGTGGAATACGCGTTATGAAGCCACAACGTGTCTGTGTGCGTGCATGACCTCATGTGTCTATTAAATTGACACAGTCGTGTGAGGCCTCGGCGATGACTGGAAATATATCAGCCCCTTGTAAATTTTCTCCTTTTTGGTATGGCGGGCACATTTCATATTCATTTCAGCGAAAGACAGCTGGCGTGCATGTGGTGTCATCACATAGCCAAGACGAATATAAAAAAAGCTAAAAAGTTCAAAGGCATGTGCAGAAACCTAATGCGGGGCGGAGGGACAAAATTTCCAAGAAATGAATTAGGTGGAAAATGTGTCAGTAACATGACTAAGACAACAACAAATATGTCCATGCCCAGAAGAAATTTGAATAGCTTCTGAGAATTGAAAGAATTGAAAAGATCTAAGGCCCTAAGAAGACCCTCTATAGGTCTTCGGTCTATAGAAGACCTTATTAAGGTCTAATATCTAAGGAAAATCCTCCGCCGGTCTCAGAAGACTTTTTAGAGGTCTTCGGTTCATAGAAAAGCTTGCAAAGGCCTTCATAAAAGATCTAGATAAGGTATTAGATCAATGGAAGACCTGGTAAAGGGCTTCTTTCCATAGAAGACCCATAGAAAACCTTGTAAAGGTCTTGTGCCCATAGAAGATTTGGTATGGCTCTTGGGTTGATAAAACCCTTTGTTAAGGTCTTTGTTTTTAGAAGGCTTTTTAAAGTTCTTAGGTCCATAGAATGACTTGTGAAGGTCATAATTTCATGGAAGATTTTGTAAAAGTCTTTGGTCCATAGAAGACCTTGCAAAGATCTTCGACATACGAAAGACCTTGCAAAAGTTCTCGGTCCATAGAAGAACGTGTAAAAATGTAGAACCCGTAGGCTCTAGGGTCGATAAAAGACCTTGTAAAGGTCTTCGTTCTTTAGAAGGTTTCGTAAAGGTCTTCGGTCCATAAAATACCTTGTTCCAGAGGTCTTTGGTCCACAAAAGATGTCCAAGACTTTCCTTCTATAGAAGACTTTGTAAAGGAGTAAGAAAGACCTTTTGCAGGTCTTCGGTACATGAGAAACCTTGTAAAGGTCTTGGGTCCATGTGAAAACTTGTAAAGGTCTTCGGTCTGTAGAAGACCTTGTGAAGATCTTCGCTCTATAGAAGACCTCGGAAAGGTGTTCGGTCCATAGAAGACCTCGAAAAGGTTTTCGGTCTACAGAGGACCTCGAAAAGGTATTTTGTCCACGGAGGACCCTGTAAAAACCTTTGGTCTGTAGAAGACCTCAAAAAGATCTTCGTTCCACGGAAAATCTCATTCGGTTCATCTTGCCAAGGTCCTCGGTCCATAGAAGACCTCGTACAGAGCTTCGGTCTATAGAAGACCTCACAAAAGTATTTGGTCCATAGAAAGAGACTTTGGTCCATTGAAGACCCTGAAGAGGTTATTGGTGCAAAAAAAGGCTTGTGGAGGTCTTCGGTACAAAGAAGAAGGCCTTCGGTCCATAGAAGACTTTGTGAGAGGCTGTCTAGACCTTTGTAAAAGGTCTAGAGAAAACCTTGTGAAGGTCATCGGTCACTAGAAAACCTCGTAAAGGTGTTCGGTCTAAAAGTCTTTGGTCTAAAAAAAACGTTCAAGACTTCTTCGGCCTATAGAAGACCTTGTAAAGACCTAAGGAAGACCTTTTGCAGGTCTTCGGTCCATAGAATACCTTGGTCTTCGGTTCAAAGAAGACCTTGTAAAGGATTCCGGTCCATAGAGTGCTTTGATCCACAAAAAACGTTAAGGACTTCTTCGGCCTATAGAAGACCTTGTAAAGATCTAAGGAAGACCTTTTACAGGTCTTCGGTCCATAGAAGACATTGTAAAGGTCTTCCGTCTATAGAAGACCTTATAAAGGTCTTCTGTCTATAGAAGACCTTGTAAAGGTCTTCCGTCTATAGAAGACCTTGTAAAGGTCTTCCGTCTATAGAAGACCTTGTAAATGTCTTCTGTCTATAGAAGACCTTGTAAATGTCTTCGGTCCATAGAAGACCTTGTAAATTTCTTCGGTCTACAGAGGACCTCGAAAAGGTATTTTGTTCACGGAAGACCTTGTAAAAGCCTGTGGTCTATAGAAGACCTCAAAAAGATCTTCGGTCCATTGAAAACCTTGCGAAGGCCTGCGGTCTATAGAAGACCTCGAAAGGGTTTTTGGTCCATAGAAGACCTTGCGATGGTATTCTTTCCATAGAACCCTTGTAAAGGTCTCCGGCCCTTAGGATATCTTGTTAAGGTCTTCGGTCCATAGAAGCCTTCTTCAGTCCATAGAAAACCCTTAAAACATTATACACCATGGAAGACCCTTGAAGGGTCCCCTTGCTTTGGAATGCCCTTTGAAAGGCCTTCCTCCAATAGAACATCTACTTAAACAGCCTCTCACTATTGATTATCTTCCAAACTAATTTAACTACCCCGTTATGCCATTGTATCCTGGCAACTCTCTAACTGTAAATTCCCTTACTTAAAACCACCGAACTTTCCAACTTCCACTCCATAGCCATTCCTGCCCCAACACACAGCACACCACACCATTAACTCGAAACCCAAAACCACGTACTTTCTCCGTCCAAAACTATTTAGTCTTGCTCAAGGAATGCTCGACAAGTTTCGCAACTCATCGGGTTGTGTTGGAAAAAAAAACCAACTCCCAAAGACCACCAAGCGAACCTGTCGATGCCGACAACACATTGCAACGTCAATACACCCATTCGTCCGTCCGTCCGTCCGTCCGCCTATTCTAAATGGAATTTTACCATAATTCATTAGCAAAACAAGAAGGCATCGTTTGTTAAATGTTAAAAGTTATTTTTGTTCTGTTCATTGGCATGGTTGTCGGCTCTCCGCCGCCACCACTCTGCCCGCTTTGTTCGCTTCGGATATCTTTAAAATTTACATTGTGTGTTTCGCTCTCTTCCCTGCACCCCACCCCCAGATCTTTTCACGCCTCCTTGTTGTGGTATTCGTTTGTTTCTGCGTTTCGTTTTTTGTTTTGTTGTTGGGTTTGTTACCCTGTCTATGTTCATTGCGTGTTTGGGTAGCATTTCAATGTTCTACCTCAGCCCCCGATACGCTTCGTTCTTCCATTGAGGTAGGTGCTGCCCACACTCGCTCACATGCTATGCCATGCCACCAAATCAGCCGGAACGAAATTGCAAGGATATGGTTGATGCTATGCTAGTTTTAATGGTGGTGGCTAAAGTCAATGGCAGGTATGGCCAATGATAGCCAATTTTAATTTTTATTTTTTTTTTTTCTGTTTCCTAAAAATATCTCATGATTTTTTTAAATTTTCCGAAGAGTTATATTTTTAACTACGAAATAAAAAATATTACAAAGTTTTAACTCTAACAGGCAGTTCCTCGAAATCCATGTATTTTAGGTATACCGTGTCTTTGGCAATATTGCAGATAAAAAATACGGAGAATGATTAAACCTCGAGCAAGTCACCTAGAGTTTATTTTTGATAATTCTTTAAAATATGGTTTTAAAAATAAAAAAATGTCATAAAATTCTACTATAGATCCTAGAAGATTTCAAGGGTCTAATTCTTACCTAAACGACAGGAATTCATATATCTTAACCAGTAAAGTCTTAAAGTCGGACGGGGCCGACTTTATGATACCCTACATCACTTTGCATCTTAAGTAGAACTTCATCCCCTTCCCCTTTTCAATTCAGGCTTGAATTATCCATTTGGTGAACAATTAACTTGAAATCGGATAGATATATATGAAAGCTATATCTAAATCTGAACCAATCTCGAAAATTTGGGAAATGTATTTCTGAGCTGTATTTGATATATTTCCCTGAATATCGTTGTTGCGGAGTGCATATTACGGCTGTGGGTAACAAATATAACAAATCGGATGAACAATATATATGGGAGCTATAGCTATATCTGAACCGATCTTCACCAAATTTGACATACTAGCTTCTAGACTAAATTCGGTCGTAAGTGCCAAATTTCATCCCATTTGGGCAAATATTGGACGTTTGGTGCACAATCAAAGGTAAATCGGACGAAGTTATATATGGGAGATATATCCAAATCTGAACCGATCTCGATAAAATTTAGCAAAGGTATTTCTGAGCTGTATTTGAGATATTTCCCCAAATATTGTTGTTGCAGAGTGCATAATACGGCTGCGGAGGACAAGAATAACAAATCGGATGAGCAATATATAGGGGAGCTATAGGTATATCTGAACCGATTTCGATCAAATTTGGCATACTTATTTTCAGGCCTAATTTGGTTGTATGTGCAAAATTCCATACAATGCGAGCTGATATTACACGTTTGGTGCACAATAAAAGGCAAATCGGACGAAGATATATATGGGAGCTATATCTAAATTTTGACCGATTATCTTCAAGTTCAATAGGGTTCGTTCTTGGGCTAAACAAATAATTTGTGCAAAATTTCATATGGATCGGGTAATAAATGCTAACTGTACTTTGTTCGCAAAAATACATGGACAGACGGACGGACGGACATGCATAAATCGACTCAGAATGTGATTCTATGCAGATCATCAAAAGGAACTATGGGACTATCTCGTTTGCTTTTGCCTGTTACAAACAAATGCACAAAGACATAATACCCTGACCACCTTGTGGTGTAGGGTATAAAAATCCTTTGCTCCATTGAATATCGATGAGACTGTTTGACCCCCTTGATAGTTTTTTTGGAAAAGTATGTCTGCATTATCG